TTTGGCCCCCGGGCCTTGAGTTTGACATCCCTGCTCTAACACTATCAAGTCTAAATGTTCCAACTGACACAGACTATCTTCGTCTTTACTGTAAAAGAGTGAAAGTGCCTTTTTACTACTTCAAGGTAAATGCAGGAATCNAAATGGTTTATCACAAGGTGAGTTCTTTTTTTATTTCCTGCTTTTTAAACACAAGTGCTCTCCAGTACAGGTTAGCTTTGAGTGTTAGCGAGGCTTGCTTAGCAAGCCTCGCTAACACTCAAAGCTAACCTGTACTGGAGAGCACTTGTGTTTAAAAAGCAGGAAATAAAAAAAGAACTCACCTTGTGATAAACCATTTGAGCTCCACACTGTTTCAGAAATAATCCTTGATGTGGTTTAGAACAGGATGGCATTTTATCACAGCAGAATTTAACTTTATCTCCAGTAGAATTCTGATCAGGCATTAGCTCCGTCTCCTATTTTTTTTCAAGCTAAGGATCCAAAATCAGCGTTTCTCTAACAGCTGGAATAGAGGGGTATGAGGGATTTCTAAAATGCATGATCTGTTTGTATTTTGAGCAAAACACATCATAGACATGTTTTTAGACCCATAACATTTGCCTCAAAATAGCATGATAGGAGACCTTCATTTCATACATTACTGTCTTATGCATGAAGGTATTGTCGTATTACATATCTCTATTGTGTGAACTATAATGGAAAGACTCGTGCAGCTCTGTAGCATTGCAGTCTTTAACCATTGTCTGACTCATAATGGACATATTGTTAAAAGACAGTTAAAAAAAGGGTTTAAAATCAATGCTTTAGTGCAGCACAGATGATGCAGGGGAGACAGCAGATTAGTTTTAATTGTAACTCTTGTCTTCAACCAGCGCTGACTCAGGTGACATGAGGACATCACTCTTTATACAGGAGACCATAAAGGAGTTCTATTTATTTTCTATTTCTTAAATAATGTCTCAAAACTATTCCTTTAAAAATACACTATGCTTTTGTTGCTACACAAAAAACGATGTCCTGCTGTCCCCATTACATCCAAGTGTGTACGAGGCATTGTTAGCATGTAAAAAAAAAAGCCCTTTTAAAAGGCGCTATACTGTAGCTGTGTTTCTCGCTATGCATTTGCACATGTAAAGAAAAGTCTGTGTTCTGTTAGAATTTACTGACAGCATTCTCAGTGAATAAACAGATGTTTTGAGGCGTGAAATCTGCTTCCTGAGCAACAACAAAGCGAGCCTTTAGAAAGCTTAATTCCTGTGGGGTAAGAAAGCAATTAGATGAAATGGGTCTCCATGCTGTGTTCGAAGATGAGCCTCCAAAGATTGCACCAAAATTGCTGTCAAAACTTTTTTTTATTACGCCAAAACAGCCTTTGTAATAAGTCTGAAAAAAGGTGCAGAGATATCGTAACACCTCATGAGAGAAATAAGACACAGAATCATGAGATGCTGATTCCTGAAGGACTAATACTCCGCCTGAGTTTGACAACAATATGGAGGCAAATTTGCTGTGGAATCTTTCAGGAGAGGACTCTTTAAAGTAGAGACACTACATACTGATATACACCTGAACATCAGCAGGAGAGGACTCTTTAAAGTAGAGACACTACATACTGATATACACCTGAACATCAGCAGGAGAGGGACATTGAACCCTTCCGAAGACAACACAAGACGCTAGATCGTTCTCACGGCCCCTCTCTCTCTCGCAGACGAAACGTGGGGGGTCTGCGTAGGTGTGTCCTTTACAAAAGGAGATCACAAACTGACGTACTGTCTTTGTGCCTAATCTTTCAAAAGGCAGAAAGGCAAGAAAGAGACGCACCGGTCTAGTCCGGTTTTGCGAAAGGTCGAGACGCGGAAAATGTCAAGAAAAAAAACACCCCCCCCCCATTTTGATCACCTTTAATTATTAGAAAAGCTACTGGCACTTTGATCCCTGCGGCGAATCGTGTAGCTACAAATGTAATGACAGTAAGAACTGGGACAAAAAACGAAAACAAACTCTTTTTACTAAATAATAAACAAACTTACACTTTGAGCTAACGTCGCGAAGTGACGCTTGGAAAGACGAGGCATGTGTGTGCAGTGTGTGTGGCGGGTGATGGTACGTGTGGCGTAGATAACATATACCTTAGTGTTGACAAGTAAACCTAGTGTATTTTCGGGTATAATTGACCGTGTCCATAGTAAAATTATGTTTTTTTACGTGATATAACACTATAATAATATTAGTAGCACCCTACCAGTAACAACAAAACAGACGGGTCCCCTCACCTTTCACGCACACAGTCAATCACAAGGGGGGAGGGGGGGGGGAGTCTCCTTGATTACCTCGAAGCCACCGGACGGCTACCTCACCCCCTTATTATTATTCCAGAAGCGGACGCCGGTTTAAATCGACCTCGCTCCCAGGAAAAAGCGGGACATTACGGGTTTTCCGCTCACGTCGATAGATTACGGAAGACTCTGTAAGTTCACCGACTGTAAAAGAAACAAATAAATGAAAGACGGAAGTAGACACGTAGCGATGTTCCCTTGTCGCCAACCTTGGGTGCTGAGGTAGGTAGTCTCAAAGCGAGCGTTACCCCGTGGTGCTACGCTAGTGTTACAAACAAATGCTCGCAGGGCGCGCCGTGACTTAACTGCCGGGTGAGCACTTACGGTTTAGACGACACTCCCGACCGTCGCTCTCCGTTCCAGGGCGAGCGAAATAACTGTAAACTGTTCACGCTTAACATCGGCACCGGGCCTACGTTTACGGTGTTTGGTGTCGCCCTAATATAGGGTTTTTTTCTATGCTTTTAAACTCCGTCTTTTAGTTCGAGAGCATTTTACAGAAAACACCACACGACCGGTCGCTAGGTCAAACGTGGAAAAGTACGGACATCACCTCCCTGCTCAACGATTAATATTGACAATAAGTGGGTTCCCTTCCTGTAAAAATTACTAGGACGAGTAATCAATAGACAACATTTTTACAAGTTTTAATATAAACCGTTATTACTGCAACACAGACGCACGGTAGTCAATTAAAACAAGCCAGGAAACACACTTAAGTACCCGTCTTGGGAAACAGGACAACACTTGCGCTCGCATTAAGACACTCAAATATTGCCAACAAAAGGTGAACCGGTGACAAACACACGTATATCGGGTTGCATTCTGTACTTGCTAGGACGAGGTAATTCGTTTTATATGACAGCGAATTAGTCAGTTACAGTAACGGAAACATCTACTACAACAGTAATAAAAACTGATTATCATAAATTAAACTGTACTACTTTCGCCAACCGTCCGACACCCTACCCTTTTCAGGATGAAAGTACAAAATATAATTGTTTTCCAAAGGCTATTAACATCCATAAATGTATTCGACTTACCTTTCTTCACTCACTCCTGTACCCCTAAATTCATAAAAACTATTTTTGCTATTTCACCTACCCCCCCCAAAGCTACCTTATCAAGTTGGGGAGGCCTGTAAGTAAGGAATAAAGAAAGGTTTTCATTGAAAGAGAGCAATATACTATTCTTTGCGATACTGAGGGATAAGAAAATGACTCTTTACTGTTATAGTGGTGTAGTGGTTTGCTAAATAACATACGTACACAAAAATATGTTCCTCCCCATTCACTTGATTCGGGATCAATTTCACGCGTGACGTCGAAAAGAGTACGTAAACTTATTCAGGATCTTATTCTTCGAAAATTCCACTCGTCGGTAGAGAAATCTAGTTATCCCGTTTCTCTCTTGTAACAATTAGCAAATTGGTCTCCATTTTTCAGGTGAAGGGGTAAAGAGTGCTACAAAGCTCGTAGGAGACTACTTCTTTGTGCTTCTTTTCCCCGGGCGACAGGTCTGTCACATCGTAGGCTCATTGTACATAAAGACAAGAGGACGTGGGATTCCAGAAGAATTTCGGCCCGTTACGGAGTAAAAAGATCCGAAAGTATAGTCACAAATCACGAGAGATTGAAATTTCTCAGGAGAGGACACTACAAAGTCCACGTATAGTCAGACATCGACAGAGATG